TATAAATTTTATTTTAATATTTTCATTTTTCTTTTTGTTCTTCGAGTGATTTTTTTCGAATTTCATTTTTGAATCTGAAGAAGTTCATGTAAATATGTTCCAACATTGTCCATGTCACGAATTTTCCTATTCACTTTGTTGCTGATACAGTGTTTCTTCACACACTAGTTCTATTTCAGTACCAACATTCAAGGTTTATCAATATTTAGCACTATTTATTTATTATAAAAGCTGTGTACCTAACAGTAGGTGGCTATGAAAAGAAGCGAATGCAGAATGTTTCATAATCTTTGTCACCTATAGATGTCAAAGAGGAAAATATCCTATATGTAGTGTAATAGGGGAAACCGCTATGAAATGGACGGGTCTTGAAACGGACAGTTGTCGTAGTTGCTATGTGTTTGTATGACCGCATATTTCACATTCACATATGGCAACCCTGTACCCAGATCCCACTACGACCGAAAATGCGCGCCGACGCAGTTGATTATGAGTCGACAGCATGCATGTTATTATTATCAGGTGAAAAAGTAAATTATTCGTGAAAATAGTGAAGTATGTCACAGGTAAGCTGTTGAAATTTAGTCAATTTCAGATTGATGAGATTAATAAAACTAAGTTACTCTAGTACATGAATGTAGAGGTAGATCTCGTGAAATATTTCTCAATTTAATTTTCGTAATATCATTTTGAGGTTAACCGTGTGTTGTTTTGAAGTGGACATCAGACGCTGTGTTGAAGCGGACGTCTGATTCTGATGATGAAGTTCCGCTGAGTCAACATTCCCGACTTCCAAAATCTAAACCCAACAATAAACAACACCAATTCATACCAAAGGAGAACAAAAACCCTAATACTCGAAGATAACTGTGTTTGTTGCAAGGAAGCATATCAGCGTAGCAAGACAGACTGGTTTCAGTGTTCCTTATGCTCTTCATGGGCACATGAAACTTGTGGCCTTCAGGGTATTCGACATTTTTATTGTAATAACTGTTCCTAAGATAGTTCCTGCTCGAATAAAAGTTATTTTTGAAGCAATTAATGTTCATTATTGCGAATATGATTTTCAAAACCACTACTGTCCTTTTCAAAACCTTCACTGTCCGTTTCAATACATCGATGTTTCGAAATGGACGGAAGCAACTCTTTGAATATTACTCAGATCATGAAGTTGTCTGAATTTATTTTTAATTTGATTTCACAAACATATTGATGGAACTTTCCGCTCATGCAGTTTTGAATAATTTAATGGTCTATAAAATTTTTGATTCCGTTGTTTTTCTTAAAGTGTCCACTTCATAGCGGTTCTCCCTACTTATGGACGAATGAATGATTATTCGAAATAATTGAAAAATCGCCCTGTATCTTCGTTATAACGACTGTACGACCCATCAAATATGGTATTTTTAGAACGACCTTGTTGACCCCTATGAACCATTGAAATATTTCCATGTACCTGTGAGACACCCTGCAGAAGTACATTGTGATTGTGATTAACTAATTGTATTATAATTTACTTCGATTGTCAATGAACTTTTGCAATATAAATATTTATTCAATATTATACAGGGTCCTGCATCTCACCTCCCGTCTTCTATAGCTCAGTTATCAGTCGAGTTAGGATTTTGATATTTTGTACTCCAATTGTATCATAGGGTGCATACCAGGAAAATAATTTCGATTATACAAAATGTTCTAAAGAAGTGTGACGTCATAATGATATATTTTTTTGAATAGCATGCCATATATCTTGTTGCACTTTCGAGTGCTTCTAGTGGTCAACTCCAAACTCCTGGAATTCAATTGAAATCGGTTCAGTGATATTCACGTGAGAAAATATAACAAAAAAATTCAATTTTGCCTCACTGGTCAGAAACATTAATAACAAATGAGAGAGTGCCTGCTCAATGGAATCTTGAGACATACATATCAAATAAGGTCTAAGAGGATCGCTAACCATGTTCTATTGACACGAATCATCACAGGGTGTGCAAAATTTAGCGGCCAAATTCTTGAAATTTCAAAGCACTATATTTTTCTTAGTTCAAATTGGGGCCCCTGTATATTTTTATGTGATTCGATGCGTGAATAAGAAACAAACTTTCCTTGCTATTACAACTCCATCGAAATCCTTATCGTATTGAAATCAAGTTGCCGAAAACTCGTTTCATCAACTATTCTGATAGTCATTTGAATGAATAAAAAACGAAGGTGGCTTTGAGAGATAAATACATTTAACTCTGAATGAACTCGGTTAGCCATCCTCTTAGGCCTTATTTGATATGTATCTCACATGATTCTATCGACCAGGTACTTTCTTTTTTGTGAAATGTGAGTTTTATGTTATCATCACTGCACCGATTTCAATTAAATTCCAGGAGTATGTAGGTAACCACGGAAAGCACTCAAATGTGCAACGAAATAAATGGCATGCCTTTTAGAAAAAATACCATTATGACGTCACACTTTTTTGGGTCACCCTGTATAATCTAATTTATCTTCCTGGTATGCGCCCTATGAGACAATTGAAGTCATCAAAATATCAAAATCCTTACTCAACTGATAAATGAGCTATAGAGGACGGAAGGTGAGATACAGGATCCTGTATAAGTAGGAAAAAAGTTCAAAAAGTTGAAGAGTACTCATTTTGGATATATAATCACTCAACTGAAGGCATATACACACCGAATAAATGATATGACCTTCGAAAATGAGTTGAGACTCACTGAAGAAATCGCGAAACTGAAATAATATATTCAAATCTAAACTGGGAACATTGACTCAATTCTGATTCTTCATGTTCACTCATCAAATCACCATTCTTCTAACAATCAAGTACATAAAGTGAATTTTCAACTCGATCAAGCGTGGCCTCTTTTTTTCAGTGTATATTATTATGCACTCACACAATCTTAATAATCGATTCCTAAACACTACACCGTTTTACCACTAACCGAACCGATTTTTTGAACACCTCGACACCGGTTTCGCTAACTATGCTAGCATCTTCAGGAGGGAAGATTAAATAAAAAATTGATCTTCTCCTGAAGGTGCGTGTATATAGTGTATTATCGTGCCAGAGGTTCCAGTCTTCGATATAATGATGTCTACACTGAAAAAAAAAGATGGTAGTTATTACCAAACTTTCAGTAAAATAGACGCAAGTCACAACTTTCATCAAATGATAGCACTACAACATTATATATTATAATACTATACTATATCAAATATTACCATTACAAAATAGTATAATACTCATAGTTTAGTATAGTTCAACTTTGTAGTGGTATTATTTGATGAATGTAGTGACTGGCGCCTATTCTACTAAACGTTTGGTATTCACTACCGACTATTTCTCTGAGTGTATAATGCATTCAGAAACTAAAATATTGAATTTGAATCACCATCTATAATTTGCGTTTTTTATGCACCTATCTAATGAGTTCCGTGGTCTGAGCCAGGTTCGGTGTTATCACACTAAAAAATCTAGTTAACCAAGTTTCTATCTCCAAAAGAGTTCTTTAAATGATAATCCAAACATTATAACTATTCAACAAAATAAGTTTCGGTATACGAAATAACGAAATAAGTATACCAGTAATTGGTGAAAACAATCACTAATATTATCACCCACAACAAACAACATTTCGAAGTAAATGATCGACGAAAATTTCTGAGATATTTCAAAATAAAATTCTTTACTCAAACACAATATATCAACATTTTTATTTGGCATGCCGGAATAAATCTTCATATTGTGCATGGTATATTACATCTGAGGTTCAGAGATAGCCCATTCCTAATGAATCACCCTGTACAAGAACCCAATCTGATATAATTCAAAATGCTCAAACAAGAATGATTGATGATGAAAATGGAGTACATATATATTTTTTTTCATTTTTTGTGCTCACCTATAGATATAGCCATGCACTATTATAAACTTATCTATTCTCATTCACTCGGTATCTTCGGTATTTTTTTTATTCAACTTGCAAATTGTACACTCAATTGGTTATTGAATAATGATTATAATAATGGTAATATCTTTATATATTTCATCTGACAATTGGAAATCGTGTTGGATTCGTCATTACAGGTGAAATAGATATAAAAGTTAAATAAAACAAATACAAATAACTCAAAACTAAACAGTTATACTTCTGAAATACATAAAAAATTTACATGTTCCACATTTGTAGATATTCCCCTATAGAACAAAAACATTTTTTCATAGGAAATCCTTTAATGATCTTTTGAAATTGAAAAATGTATCATTTCCTTTCATTTCATCGGGTGATAAATCATGAATTCGGGGAGCCATTGCTATATAGACCAGGCCCATAAGCAGGAAATCCATCTCTATAAAGTGCAAGAAGCATTTCATGTAACAATTGAGGAAACAACGTTATTAAGGTAATTCGACCCTGCTGAATACGAATCTGCCTGTTGCCAAAGTGAAATTTGGACCGGAAGTCCGGTATCCAAGATGGCGGCCGAGATGGTGGTCAAACCTTCGCTATTTATGAACAAGGCTTATCGAAAACCGGTTGGGAGGAGAAACTAGGTCGGAGAAAAAGCGATAGCTCTGATGAAGATGCACTCCTCAAGGTTATGCAGTCATTCCATTTGATGGACCCTACGGCTCCTAGCTCAAGTGTCTGCAACGTCGCCACTAAAGACCAAGCAACCAAAGAAATTCAGACATCACTCCTTGAAGCGAAGATCAGATCTGGTTATCAACTTTGTAAATCAGCGCCTTATTGTTCAAGAGTCGTCTGACAAAACTGTCAAAAGTTTTTATGCTGATATACCGAAAAACTCTGCTTTGTCTCTCTCAGACCTCTTCAAAGTTAAGGACACTAAAGATCGGAAAAAGGTTGTAGAGGCTGACAGGGATGTTTTACGTCGTCTAATTGTAGCTTTCGAAGCAGGCAGACAAATTGACTTGCCCTCCATTTTGAAGCACGAGCTTCTTCCAGTACAAATCGATAGCGAAAATGGATGGCACCCTCAGATCGTCTGAAAAAGCATCGATGATAAAACTCGTTGCTGAAGGCGTGGAATGCCCAAACTCCATTAACATTGATCGGAACACTTCGCAACTGATTATAGACGGTCAAGCTTTAGTAAACAGCATAGGGAAACCAGCAACTGCCACTACTTTCGGAGACCTCGCTGCAACATTCATTGACGGGGTGGTTCACCTTGAAAGACCGTATGTCAGAGTCGACATCCTTTTCGACCGGTATCATACCAAGTCAATCAAAAGTGGGACCCGCTGCAGACGGACCAGGGGAGCTGCTCCAGTCAGAAGAGACATCACAAGTGCAGCCATTCCACTGCCAAAAAATTGGAAGAATTTTCTAGCACTGGGGGACAACAAGGCCGACCTAGCCCGCTTTCTCTCTCAGGAAGTTCTCCAATATGTATTTAATGACATCGAATTTGTTGTCTCCGGAGGACTCATACATGAAGAGGATGTGCGATCAACCAACCCCGAATCCGACGTTAGTTCCCTAGCAGCGACAAATGAAGAGGCCGATACACGCGTTGTACTACATGCTGTCCACTCTGATGCTGACAACATCGTCATCATGGCCAGGGATACTGACATTTGTTTGCTGTTAATCCATCACTTCGACAAAATGACCAGTTCTAACGTGTGGATGATGAGTGGAACAGCGAAAGAAAGGAAGTATCTCCCAATACATGAGATTTGCAACATTCTCCCTAATGTTCAAAAGAAGAACATCTTGGCGTTCCACGCAGTTACGGGTTGCGACTCGACGTCTCACCATCAACGATAACGAAGAAAGCAGCGTGGAAAGTCTTCAATGGAACGGCCTGCCAACTTTTAGACAACCTAGGGCACTCTCCGCTAACTCCCTAGGCAAACGCAGAGAGGTTTCTCGTTCAGCTCTATAAGGTCGGTAAAGTTTTCTCAGGTGTTTCAGCAAGTCCAAATATCAATTATAACGTTTCTATTTCTCTGAACAGGTGACTGAAGATGTATCTAGCGGGGATGAAGCCAGATATCAACTTTTTGGTGTTGTGAAAAAGCCAGAAGCCTTACCTCCAACAAGCGATGCGCTGCGGCTACACCTCCTAAGATGCCATTACCAGGTAAAGAAATGATGGGAAGCATACTGTGATCAGTATAACCAGTTGCTTTTCGGTAATTATAATAAAATTTTAGGTGAACGTGTGGGAAAATGCTCATCATGCCCGACCGGAGGTGATGGATCCTGAGTCATATGGGTGGAGACTTCACCAAGACGAGTACATTCCCATCCTTATGACACTTGAGCCCGTTCCCAAAGCTTGCACGGATATTTTAACCTATAATTGTTTGTCCCACTGCCTGAAAACAATGTGCACGTGCAAGAAGAATGGACTGACTTGCACCAAGTTGTGCCACCGCTCTCACCAATGTCTTAACTCTTCAAATGCTTGATTAGTAATCATTTTTGTATTATTGCCATCAGCTACCGAACTATTTTCTCATTATCTTCCCACACTCCTGCAATAAACAGTGTTTGAACTCCAGAATGGTCGTTTCCTTCACTTCCTTCTGCGGCCATCTTGAAGCCCATGCACTCATAACTTGAGGTAAGTAAATTTCAAGCACTGCAAAGTACCAAGCATCTGGGAACCCCTAAGCAGATGTTTGAACCATTATTACAAGCCAACGGACATGGGAGATATGGGGCAACAGAGTTTTGACCACCATCTCGGCCGCCATCTTGGATACCGGACTTCTGGTCCAAATTTCGCTTTGGCAACAGGCAGATTCGTATTCAGCGGGGTCGAAATACCTTAAAAACGTTGTTTCCCCAATTGTTACATGAAATGCTTCTTGCATTGTTGATTTTTGGAAACGTGCCTAGTCTAATATAGAAGAAAATTCATTTCATTTTTGTATTACTAAATGGAATATAAGAGTGTTCTTTTTGGCGTGTACTGTATTCGTACCTTGAAATATTAATCTTAAAAATATTTCGATTTTAATACACATAAAGACAGAATTCAAGAATTATTAACAACGATGATAGAGTCAGGATTTTCAAGTTTTTAAAGTGGTCCCTACAAGAAGAGCGTTTTGATATTCCTACGAGTGAGCGTATAATACGTTTCTGTGCAATAAAAACATCTGATGATGCGGTAGATAGGCCCCAGAAACGTACTCCGTATCTTAGTCTGCACCCTATTTGGCCATAATATAATTTCAGGAGTTGGTCACAGTTAAGTAATGGTTTGAGATTTCTGAACTGATATGAGTAAGAATTCAATTTGGATTGTAGTATTCGGCAATAATTATTCCATGTGAGATACTCATCCACGACCAGCCCTAAGATCTTGACTTCTTGAACAATGTTTACACAGCTTTCATGACTATTATGGAATATCATTGATTTTGTTCTATCTATGTTCAAACTCAGGAAGTTTACATTGAACCAATCTTTCACGATCGAAAGAGTCTCATTACATTTATGTGATAGTAGACTGTCTGATTTATCTGAGATGGTCAGCGACGTATCATTCGCATACATAGTGAGAGAAGAATGGACTGGTATGTCATCCAAATCATTCAAGTATAATATGAAAAAGACAGGCCTCAAAACTGAGCCTTGATGTACTCCAATTGTGACGGCTCGTTTTGAAGAAATCGAGAAAGCTTTGCAGCCAATGATGAGAAATACCCTGTATTCCGTATCTCTGCAGTTTTCTTAGTGAAATATCATGGTTGACACAGTCGAAGGCCCTGCTGAGGTCACAAAAAATCCCAACAGGTCATTCACCAATTTCAGTAGCTCCTCGTAATATGAGTCAACTGCTGTTATCGATGATTTTTTATCTAGGAATCCATGCTTGGTTATTGGAGAAGATTTTGAATTTATCACAGGATGATGATAATCTATTGAGGAAAGCATACTCATACTACGGTCAAGCCGTGTAGTATTTGACGCATCGACAGCAGCGCCGCCTACCGCGTCCAATTGTATCTTTAAATCATCCAGGAAACCATCGAAATATCCAAATAAAAGTTCAGTTCAGCCGTTTGAAAGTTATGTGGAGATAATAAGTACTGGAAGGATAATGAATCTTACCCGTTGTCCTATCATCCGTTTTTCCGTAGGTATAGGAATAAAGATTTTCCTGCGGTCAAAAGTAGCCTATGTTCATCAGGGATGATGTCGGCTTCTAATGGTAGAATAATTTTTTAATTTTCCAAATCCATATACTAGTTTCGGAGCCTTTTCAATACGAATAAACAAACAAACAAACAATCAATCTGATATTTCCTATTCGAAACATCAGTATACCTAGATTATGATTCAGGAAATTCATCTCTCATGGAAATATCTGTACCTAGTTGAAATTGAATTATCGTTACCTCTGATCAAAACTTCGAGCTTTTCACGAAATAAGATACTCTATTTTGGATTATGAACTTGAACAAACATATTAGGAATTATGCGAAAAACTCAGGAATGAGACAATAAAAAGAATATGATCACATCCAGAACAAATTTAATAATGTATAACAATTGAATAAAAACCAAATAAAACATGTGACAAATTTAGAATTCCTGGGATCAACAATCGAAATCAATTAAAAGATGGACGAACAACTGGGAAAACCCGGAAAATTTCTGAACACGATGGGAGAAAGGAGATACCATGCAAAAAACAGAATTAGTCAGGTATAATCCATAAATTTATAATCCACCCAACTCCTATGTGAAGAGACAAAGACTGAACATTAATCAAAGATATATATGAAATGGGTATAAGATTTCTCAAGGAATACAAAATGAGAAATCAAACATTTCCAGGAAATCTAGAGAATAACAAAAACGCAGTCATGATGCGTTGTTGTCACAACATTTGAGTGAAAAAAAAGTTGGTATGTTTGATGATTTTTCGTAGATTCATTTAGCTTTCTAGGTTTTGGTTCTAATGCATACCCACTGAATACAGTGGGTATCTTCTGAACTCTGGATCATACGAAATAAATGAAAGAACCTATTTTTTCTTCTCCTACCAGGATGTTGATTTCATTCCTCATGCATCAAGAAAACTTCTCTATTCAGGTATAACTGTTGAAAGACAGCAATCCTAAAGTCAATTATAAACCTTGTTCATGATTTTAAATATATATATGTTTTTCAATGTTGGTATTCTCTTCAAGATAACTCCCATTTGGATGAGGAAATTTCCTAGATACCAATAGATATACTCAGTTGAAGATTACATGAGCATACGCCATTTTGGTTTGGAGAAAAATAATTGTCTGGAACTCTGTTGTGTAGCCAAAGTGTCTTTCAGAAAATTGGCATCATTATATGGTGAACACTTTTAATAATAGCTCATTTTGGAATACGACGTCCAGGGTCACTTGATGACTTTTGCCCAAGACTTTGCTACATGTCAGAAGACGAATTTTTCATAATTGATCGCTAGAAATTGTCTCATTTGTTCGAATTCCAAAAAAAATTCCGAATTTCCTTCGATTTCGATATTTTTCTACTTCAACAATAAGTCTGTAATATTGGAAAAAACTCGATTTCGACAAAACTGTTTCATACCAGTAACTATATCAAGCTACTTACTTTCAATCATTAAAGTTAAAATTGACAAAATATGATTTTCCTCTGAAATTATTCTTCAGGTTCAAAGTTGTATTGTCAAGTATTCAGGTGCGAAATGGATTGGTTCAGTACAAAACCATAGTATAATCAATCGAAATATCACCAATATATGTATGTAACCAAAGTTCAGAACAGTTATGTCGAAGTAACAATATAAAAGAGTTTTGGTGAATATTATAGGATGTGAAAAGCTCTAGAAGTTGTAAGTGGTCAATTTCAAATTTGAAATTTCTCAGTTAACGTTTCGAAAGTTTGTTTGAATTAGCCTATATTTTCAGCGATTGAAAAAAATGTAATAGATTAGTGGATTATGGAATACCGTTCTTGAATTTTAAGTATTCTCGGAAAGTATTGAATGAAATATAAATTCAAATTGGTGATGGTATGCCATAAGATTTCTTGAACCGAATTATGATGATGATCTCAGATAAATATAAGCAGAAAAAAAAATAATATGTTGGATTATTGAACGATACTACATTTTGTTGGTCGAAAAAATGGTCGGGTAATAATATGGAATACCTATTGTAGGTAGCTATATGTGATGTATGATAGCGATAAAATCGAAAATGTAGTTATTGTTCTCAGTATCGGCACACAGTTCGTGTGTCCAGAGCTTGCACCTCAGGCTTTTTATCCAAAATATTCATATCCACTATAGTGAATAGAAGAATGAATTTATCCATGTTTCTGTTTCTTACTGCTATATCACTACACTTTTTGCATCTTCATCATTCCACTCCTCATTTTGTGGAGTTGTGGTTCTCATTATTTTTTAATTCAGTCAATTTTTTGAAGTATTTATTAATAAAGTCAGGTAATATGGAATACTATTCCAAAATTGCCACCTATATTACTTCGTTGGTTGAATAATTTGAGCGCTATATCTTCAAATTGGACCTTTCACACATCATCAATCTACCCAAAACCAAACAATAATTTATAATAAAATCACTTCCAAAGGTGTTCGTAATATAAATTAAATGAACTCACATGAAGAAAATATTGTGTGCACCGAAATTCAATCAACTATAAAAACTACGAGGAATAATAGATACCCATAGAATAAACACAGTTGTGGAAGATGGTATAGATGGCGCTTGTAGTTTCGTAAAAAAATATGTTATCCCATATTACCGGATATATTCCATAATCCCCGAATTGACTCTGAATTTTTACCGGTACCTAGCAGAAGTCACGTTACCCCGATCAAGGAGTCCATTTTTCATTACATTCAAAGCAAAACTCAATGCCCATCATGTTCGAAGTGAATTATCATTAAAAGTTTGTCTCATATGATGCCAACTTCCTGAAAGACACTATATAAAGTTTAAAGACGATTCGAATAAGGTATATTATTCGACTCGCACCATTCTTGGAAAAAAAATCGAAATGGCATTCAGATGCCATTTGGAATGATGCATATCTCAGAATAAAATCAGTGAAGCACACAATCTACCATTGGGCAGAGAAAAATTGAATGTAAAACTCTCTGCTGTTCAAAAGTTGACTAGAAGGAAGAGGGGTAGGAAGAGGAGTACCTTATAAAACGAATACTTCAAAATGTATTCGAAATGAACTCGAATGAAGTAGGTACTCTTGAAAGCTCCTCCCAACGCCTATGTTTCATTGCTATCTGATGTTGACCATTCATCGCAGGTTTGCCTTGTCGCTTATCCCTATCTCAATTGGGAAAAATCAGAACTACACGGTTTAATTGATCCATGTTTTATGTTTCGTTAATTGAATCAAATCCAATGTCGCGCAATCAAAGTACATTCCGTAGAACCCAGACTTTCTT